TACAACAGATCTCTCTATAATCAATTAAATCCATAAAACTAAATCTTCATTCATATTTTTAAGTGTTTTTAAATAATTTCTCTCTAGCCTCCAATTGAACACCTGAAAGGGTTCTCCCTAAGAAAATTTTTGAAAAAAAGAATGTGCATTCTAGCATATATTGGCAAAAACATGTACAATTTATACTTCCAAATTTGTTAGAAATAAAGTGGTTTGCAATTGGGGATACAAACCATTTCTCCCGCAACCAAACCTGTTTTATACATATATTTACCTGTAGCATTATTACAACTCTCAGTACTGTCTGATTTACAATTACAGGGGTAACACATGCTAAAATTGGCATAATAATTCTCATCACATGTTTCACAATTACTGCCACTTGTATTAGGATTACATTGTTGACAGTCTGACTCACTTGAATAACCTGCTGCACATTCATCACACATCTTCCCACCTCTATTACCATTACAATTACATGTGTAAGATTCGTAATTTTCTGTTCTTGTACACTGTCCTTTTCTATTACATTCACATCTGCAATTAGTTACAAAAATGAAAACTTACTTTCTAATTTCGTGCTCTTGTTCTTGGCTAATGAATAAGAGCAATGCCATTTAGTGTACCATGAGGGACATTTTGCTAGAACAGTGGCAGTGGTATTCTGATTCAATTTCCTACTGTCAGGATCTTAAACAAACATATAGACCTACACACAAGACAGAAAATCAGAATGGTGCAAATAGAATCTATGCACCTGACAAAAATACAAATAAGGGCTAAACTACCACTTTAGAAACTTTTTCTTTACGGTAGAAATTTGCTGTTTATGGAAGAGTCTGTACGCCTTAAAACAATTGTAAAGAGGTTTTGTTAACTTTTACACTGACAACATCAATTTGCATTTAGATTATAGTCAGGCATCAGTAGTTCTTGCAATTCCACTCAAATTGCACTATTTTAGCTATTGAAAGAGCATAAGAAATTCTTAGCAGCTTATGTGAAAGTGACTATAAAGTATTTTTCTATAATAACAGGTGCTACAGAAATCTGACGATGCAAATAGAAGCCATAAATGGACCCATAAACATAAAAAAAACCTGAAAACCTCTTTTCCATCCCTTTTACAATTAATACTCAATGTTGAAATAAAAAAAAATCCTTATAAAAACTTACTCTCCTGTGACAGTAATATCAGAAATTAATATTTGACCGTCTGTTGGTGCCATAAGTTTTAAAATTATCTCATCTGTTGTCTTGGTAGCACTGAGAAAAAAAACAGCAGAACAGCAATATAAATTTTAAGATCTTGTATAAATTCTGATTATTTTGGTTTTGTTGCTCTAGCCGCACTTGTCCAGATGTTTGAATAATGGCTCCAATGAAACACATTTAGCAAAATGTTATATGCAATAAACATATATATATCGGTGATATTTGCCTTATCAGCTGATTTTAACTATCTGTTTCACAGAATCAAAAGTAATGGAAGTTTAGACTTTTGTCACTTATGGGTTGTTATTAGCCTTCTCACTGGCAGATATGATACAGATAGCTAAAATGGAGCCCTACGTTTCGAGTTTTTTTTTCATATCATTCATTGTATTGTCCCCATGGGCTGAATGTTAGACAGAACTATGTCTTTGTGTATTGGACCTAATTCTGACCCACGTAAAGTAAAAAGTTTATTTTTATTATCAGGTAGTTAAACAAGTATTTAGATAACTGTTATACGATATCACCCTATATAGTTAGATTCCTATTTAAATTTTTCATAGACACTTACTTTATTGTACAATTTATGTTGTTTGTAGTAACAATACAATTACTATTATCTATTTCCACATTCGCATCAGCTGGCTTTGCCTCTTCAAGTGCAACGTTAACTTTTGTTACCTAGAAAATGATAGAGATCAATAGGTTTGTTTTCTTTTGTTTTCTAATTCCTTGATCCAATTTCAACGGATTTCCTTTCCAATGTCTGTGATTTTCTGTAATTCTATGACCAATGGTGTTTCTAGGGATCAATAGGACGAGGGCCACAGAATTGTCTAGGGGTCAAACAGCACTAGACATATAAGAACTCAATGATAAGGAATTTCAAACCTCCCTCTCATTTTCCAAGAGGCTTTTCTCATCGGACTTTCAATCTATGAATAGATGTAGATATCTGTGGTTGAGCTCTACCAACTAGAATATTAAGTGATTAATTAATGAGATCTGCCTACCTTGTATTCATCATAAAGTTTTAGCTTTAATGTTACAGAAGTCGCGTTGGAGACTGCCCATACAGTTGAACTGTTAGAGTCATATACAGCTTTTATATCATAAAATGTAGAACTAGAACCTTGATATTTATTTTGAGTAGGTTGAGTACCACTTCCAGATTGACTACAAGTATTTGCGTCTTTATGTTTCGGATAAGAAATTGGACATCTGCAATCATCTGGTGGACTTTCACTGTCAGAAAGTGACCCCATTTCTCTAAAAGATACAAAATAATTTAATAATAAAACAGCTCATACTTAACTTAAGAAATCAGCCACAGAATATGTCAACTATATACTACTATTGAACATCAGAGAAATATTTAAAAGATATAGGCCCTAGAGTTTTATTTATTGATTTAATACTAACTTCATGAAGATTGGATTTTAGATTCAATAAGAATTACGATTTAAGATTAAACTTTATAACGGATTGAACTACATTTATGACAGAACTACACGAAGTTCATACTTATACCTTGTCTGCAATAGGCACTATTATTGTATCATAAAATGTAGTGATTTGATTGGATTGTACGACAGTACATACAGCAATTCAGAGCCCTTGACAGAAAGGCTGTAAGCATTATGGCTTTGTGTTCGCAGACTTTTGTTGAGGTCTCTGATTTGCTGTTTTGCTACCGTACAATACAATCAAAATGCTTCAATTATAAACTTCCGTGATACAAGAAAGGTGAATATTGCAGTCAAGGTATAAGCAGTCCCAGTAGAAAAAATTTTGGCCTCCCTGAAAAATTTAGATGACTTAAACAATCGCAATTATGATGTGTCACAGAAAATATAATAACATTGCTGGCCTAATGCATACCTGTCTGTTAAAAAGTCTTCATAAACTCTTACATCAAGAAAGCTCACAGAATCTCCACTTTCAAAACCTGTAAATTATGAAGATCATGAATAATATTCATTTGTAAATGGTTTAAATCTCAAATAGATTTAAAGTGTTGAATTAGTAAGCTATCTACTGTTCATTCTTTGAAATAGGCATCTTGCACAGATATATATAAATCATACAAGATTTCCCATTTTATGTAGGCCTACACATTTTTGGCATTTCAACAACAAAAAATTACAATATGAAGATGGGCGTATATCCAATGATATTTGCTTACTACTGTTGTTATAATGGAATTGCCCTATGTGGACACTTAATTACTCAGTTTTGATGATGCTCCCTTCCCAGAAAGTGAAAGCTCTAGTTTTGAAGCAATTTCTTTATGAAGACTATTTACATATATTCACGATCCAAATTAACTCTCATAAATGGCAAATCTGTCCCTTTAAATGAATAATATGTACTTGGTACCTATCTATAAACAACAGAACCAACAATAAGCCGAATAGCAAATAAAGCGAAGCAATTTAAGCAAAGAAAAACACAGATTCAAGTTCAAATTACCCTGATCAGGTCCAAATTTAACCATATACGGAGGAGGTATTAAGAAATCTAATTGTGTCACATTTACAGATGATCCATTCTTAAAAAACCCTTGAGCATTTTCCGTTCCCTTTAACAAAAAAAAAATTTTTTTTTCATTATTTAAGTGGTAGGCTATATTGAATATTATCAGTGTGTTTTACCTGTATATCATATCAAGTCATATTGAGAAAAAATAAATACCGCTACCGGTGCCATATGAAATTTCTAAAACTCTTCAAGAATTCTGGACACAAATTTACAAGGCTTAAAGCCTATTTGAAAAAAAAAAAGAAAAAAACAATCAATTTGGAGTTTCAAATCAGGAATTTACGCGCTTTGGAAAAATCTCCTGACTTTTCACCCAATCTCCAGATTTTTCAAGGCAAATCTCCAGATTTTTTTTCCTGACCTGTACACATGTATGAGTATAGGCCTAAACTAAGATACCATATAGGGGAGATCTAGGATAAGTTGGACCATTTCTTATCAAAAAATGTTTACAGGAAAGTCTTATTGAAAACTTTTTTAAAAAAAACTAATTTTTCCAGAGACCATTGACAATCATGTAAAAAAAAATGCTGTTTAGTGACATAAAAATTCAGTTAGGAAATCCCTTTCACATTATATTGCAATGTTTGGTCCGTTGCAGGTTTGCAGGGTTCTGCGTCAAGTTTTATTTATATTATAAACATCTAATTACCCTGAATCCAATGTGAGTCCATGATGATGGTGATATAGTTGATATTAATATTGATACATTGTTTTTAATTTTTAAATCTGTATTACTCAAACTCCATTTATTTTCTTGTGTACCAGTACCACTAACTGTCATAAATTCACTATAAATGAAGATTGTATAAATGAAAACTCAAATATAGGTCCAGTAATGTAGAATATTTCATATTAAATAAAATGAAATGAAATGCAATTGTTTAAGTATTCCTTTTCTAATTGAGCTCATGAAGACACCAGTGAGCACTGAGGTAACTTTTGCAAAGACAGAGGACACTTTGTCAATTTCTAACTGTGAACATCCAAAATCCTTGAAAAACTCTGGTCTGGACTTATAAGTTGTTACAACTAACCAATTAACTAAGCCACATCATGACCTCATTGCAATTCATAGACAGCAGTGTTGTTGTTTCTAGTAACAGTATTATTAGTAGCGGTAGTAGTAGTAGTAGTAGTGGTAATGGTTGTGATGACAGTGGTAGTAATAGAAGTAGTAGTATAGTAGTAGTAATAGTAGTAGTATAGTAGTAGTAGTAGAAGCTGTAGTAGTAGTTGTGGTAATGGTTGTGATGAGTGGTAGTAATAGAAGTAGTAGTAAAGTAGTAGTGATCGTAGTAGTAATAGTAGTGGTAGTAGTAGTAGTAGTAGTAGCAGCAGTAGTAATAGAAGTAGTGGTTGTAATAGTAGTATTAATAGAAGTAGTTAAAGTAGTAGTGGTTGTAGTAGAAGTAGTAAAAGTAGTAGTGGTCGTAGTAGTAATAGTAGTGGTAGTAGTAGTAGTAGTAGTAGTAGTAGTAGCAGTAGTAATAGAAGTAGTGGTTGTAATAGTAGTATTAATAGAAGTAGTTAAAGTAGTAGTGGTTGTAGTAGTAGTAATAGTAGTAGTAGTAGTGGTAGTAGTAAAAGTAGAAGTGGTCGTAGTTGTAATAGTAGTGGTAGTAGTAGTAGTAGTAGTAGTAGCAGTAGTAATAGAAGTAGTGGTTGTAATAGTAATAGTAGTAGTAATATAAGTAGTTAAAGTAGTAGTGGTGTAGTAGTAATAGTAGTAGTAGTAGTGGTAGTGGTAGTAGAAAGTAGTAGTATAGTAGTAATAGAAGTAGTTAAAGTAGTAGTGATCGTAGTAGTAGTAGAAGTAGTAGTGGTGATTGTTTGTGTTTATGTTGTAGCAGTTGATGTTGTAGTAGAAGTAGTTGGCTAACCGTTGCAGTGTTAGTAGCAGTTGTGGTTGGTGTTGTTGTTGTTGGTATGTAGTGGAAGCAGTAGTAGTAATGTTAGTAGTTTGTAGACGTTGTTTGTAGCACTAGTTGGTCGTGTTGTTGTTGTTGTTTGTAGCAGTGGTTGTTGTAGTTATTTTTGAAGTTGCTGATGCTGTTTGTAGTAGAAGTTGTTTTTTCTTCCCAGACTGCAAGACCACTGACGTTTTGAGTAAAATAATTATTGCAATACTCACCATGCAGGTGAACAAGATCCTCTAATCCAAAAACTAATAGTTGCAGCATTTTCCACTTCAAGCTTTTGGGAGCAAGTCCTGTTCGTTTTAAATGTAAATTGTCTAGAGGTGTTTTTATTGGCACTAGTTGGAAAAGACGGCAACGATTTTGGCTGAACACAATATGAAAAGTGATTACTACTAGATGACAGAGCATGCATAGTTGGGAAACTTATTCGACCGCCACATGTTCTACCACATGTGTTTGATGTACAAGACCCACAACCCGATCTGTTATACTTGCATTCAGTTGCATTTATCACATGGACTTCGCGTAAGATATCCTCAAAGGTCTGCCCTGATACCACATTGAGTGTTAAAAATATCACAGACAGGCTTAAGCTTAATGTTGTAACCTTCATATTTTTTTGTGGTTCAATCTGTACACAGCTTCATAATTCTACGGGACATTCTGAAATTAAACAAAACAAAGCCTAAATAAAAACCGAGTCAGAAATTTAAGGCTTTCATTTATAGCTCGTTGAGGTCGTAAATTCTACAGAATCTATAGATTCTATGAAACATATGGAGGAGGGGGCATGTTGGGGCTAAACCATGAGACCAGACTTTTTTCTGTGAGGGGCATCCCATTGGCCTTCCCACTAAAAATTACACTGGATAGACAAACCAGATAAAAAAAAATAACATAACTTGTATAACCATGGGATTTCCCTTATAAATGACGATATTATGACCATATAATTGAAACCCAAACCAGGAAGATACACATAGGGTGTCACCCCACTTGAAAGGAAATATGGGCTTATATAAGCTGGAATATAATGTGTGTAAAACGTCACATACCCTGCATAAGAAGAGGAAGTAGATTAGGGAATAAAAGAACCACATATATTAGAAACTTTCCAAAGTGTCATGGGTTTTTGTATATTTATATAAATGATTAAGTAATATTAAAACAGGGCCTAGTGTTCATGGTGTATAATCTTCAGATAAAAGATCTATTTCAGCCTGTGTCCCTTATAAAAGTTTTGATTTATATATAGCCTACATGTACAAATATTGTGTTAGAAAGGATGAAAATTATGACCAACAAGCTTTAAAATTTTATATAAGAGATGGTAATATATGTAGGTTTCCGTAATTCAAAGTCTATGTCTATCTATTCATAATTATTGCAACATCCGAAATCAAATTACTTTTCAACAAGGCATACAATGCTGTGTACGCCAAATTGTCAATGACATTCTGGGACAGAGATCGGTAAAACTTCTGGAAACATAGGCTACTGGTATATTTTGATTTTTTTTCAGGCAAATACTTCCAGATCATTTGAAAACTTATAAAACTGGACTGTGAATAGGCCTAGAAAATAAACACAGTTGCTATATTATGATTGTTTCTTTCAGGGGCGGCGATCCTAGTGTCCCCCACTAGTTTTTGACTGGAGGGGGGCATCATATATATAAAAATAGCCACTAACGAAAATTAAATTCCTTTATATAATTGACCACGACGTCATATTCACTTTATTCATTCTTCTTGTCAAATTGATAGGCCTACCTGTTTTAACTTGGAGATTGATTAGGGTTTTGAATGAGGTAGTTTAAAGGAATACTACGTCTTAGAATGAACATAGCATTTTAAACTTGGGCAATAAGACCATATTATATTCATCAGTAGATATATACCTGGTGTCATAAATAACATAACAGGGTCCTTACATAATCTGATAAATCTCCAAAAATTAGTATCCATAAATATGCAATTAACTATTACCTTTTATATCATGGATGATATCGTTCAAAAGACCTCGCTAGGAGAGAATGTTGACTCTCACACTATACATGTCAAATATTGTTGTACCTGATGTGTTCATTCTGTTGTTAAGAGTGAACCAAATTTTGCAATATGAGAGTTTCTGAGGGAAGCTCGCATATATTGACACACCTTTGACCAAATTTAAAGATTTATTGAAATTAGCGCATCCTATGACATACATAGGCCTAGACAATATTCCCTATACTGAATCCATTTTATAAATATTGAGACTCACACTAAACATACCCCGTAACTAGGTCGCTGATTGATTAGATTAGATATATCCCAAATTCAAGCCCGTGATCCTTAAGAAAATTACCAAAACACTTACTGCATATTTCTGGCAAGCCGTCGTCTATTCCAATTTCATATTTATTAGTAAACGCGGAAGAAATAATAAGTTCAAATATATAGAAACGCATAGGTCTATAAAACATCCTGGTTAGGCAGGTTTTAAGTTATACACCTACACGAATCAAACAGATATAATAAAACGTATTTTGTATTGTGTTACATAAATAATATATCATAGGCCAAAACGTATAGCGTAGAGCTAACATAAAAGTTTCATGCTCTACTGAGCGCCCGTTTAAACCAGTCTAAATGCTATTGATAAATATGTTCAATGTAGGCTAACGTTTAAAGGGATTTTAAATCAAAATATATATTTCGGAGACACTGATAGCATCAATTTGAACCATTTCAATTTTCAGTCAGACGTCTGTGGTTTCTGCAGTTCCACAAAAATAAGTTTTTAATAACGTCATTAATCACGGCATAATATGCGGCATAATATCACTTAAGGCCCTTAACTTTAAGGCGATTAGTGACGTCATCGAACACTTAGTTTTAATGGAATTGCAGCAACCACAGACGTCAGACTGAAAATTGAAATGGTGCAAATAAAAATCCTTTTTATAATTCCTTTAAGAAATATAAATTATATGGTGCTCTCTACAGGAAATCTGGTGTTGATTACACTACCAAAAAAAGGTATAAAATTGTGTTTTTTGAAAAAGAAATGGTTGCAATTTAAAGCACATTTTCAGTTCAAAACTGTCATTGTCATCGAGCATCGAGCAAAATAAAAATCACCAGTTATGCTATCTAAAAGATCAATTTAAAATACTTATTCACTTATGATAAACTTCCTCATGTGAAAAGTGCATTAGCTGGTTGGATTTCTGTTTTCGTTTTGCAGTTCGGCTCGTTAGTATATTATTATTTGATTTATTTATTACTAATAGCCTACTATAACAAGGAAATTCGTCCATCTTTCCTTATTTGAACAATTTAATTAGCATCATAACAGGCCTTCATTTCAACATATATGTCATGTAAGGAAGGCTTGCAGGCATCTTCACAATTCCAAAGTCTGATAGGCCATTAGTTACCTTTCATCGCTGTGGATTTAACTGTTATTCGAAGTCTCTGACTGGCTATATTCGCTTTTGTGAAGATGTGTGGCAGGTATTGGCCAGTGATATGAGATAGAACTAATGTCGACAATATTCAATTCTAAGGTCGATATAGACTATACAATACCAAAATATTGTACAAACCCTGGTTATAGTGAAGCATCCATTGCTTTCCGAATAAGATTATGTCATTGAGCACGTGCAAATCAGGGAGAAAACGATAACATTAATAGCTTGCTCCCCGCCGTAAAAATTCGACTTAATAAGTCGAGGAAGAGATTCAAAATGGCTGTGAACTACGTTCGTGTGTTTTTCCAAGTAAGAGCCATTTCGTGTGGGTTCTACAAATCTTATAAAATAGGTATGACAGTCCTATTTTACATTTTTGTCTCAACACAATGCACATTCAAGCTATGCCTCTAAAAGGTATATCATTTACGTCTCTATATAAATTAATATATCATAATATCTGCTATATAGAAAGCGTTCTAAGATCCTAAATGCAATCTTTCTTATCCTGTCAGTCACATGCTGTTTACATGAAAGGAGTGACTTCATCTAAGGTAATTTTTTTTAGCCTTTCGCCTATTTGCTTACTTTCTGTTGATAAATTCATATATGATCTTTCTGTTGATAATATAATATAAAACTTGAAGTTAAAATACCCGTATCTATTTTTATAAATATATGTTTTCTTGAGACCATGGTAACAAAACTGTTTATCCATACGGAGCAACTCGTATCTATAATTTTATAAAATACTAACAGTATTTCAAGCCTGTTGCTCGGTCCTAAACTCGAAGAATTAAATAACCTTACCAGAAAAAATAACTATTTCAATAAAGTTTATCCATAATTATTTGACTAACACAATTGTTGTTTAAAGTACTGCCCCGGTTAAGCTGCCTATTGTTGTCGTTCTCATGCAATATCAAAAGAGTCAATAACAAATATTGATTTTTCCAAACAGAATCGAGCGTATTCCCTCGTGGTGTCAGCACTATTAATATGCTATTTCAGCAACAAGCATGTAAGAAATTTTGTATCAACAAAAACTAAGATAACATATTATCATGACATGTCACAAGGGGTGTTCAGTAAGAGTAAGCGTATCCTACCGTTATTATTTTCATTTACATACAATTCCTTGAGTGGGGTTCTGTAGACATCTTTATCATGTCTACTTGAATCATATCAGCAGTATGGAGTCTTATAGACATTCTTACAATGTCTACATAAATCAGCAGTGTTGGGTCTTATAGAAATCTTTTTAATGTCTACATGAATCGTATCAGCAGTATGGAGTCTTATAGACACCTTTATC